AAATTTTCTCGATGAATACTTACTCTTCCTCATTCCATCTAGTCAATGACACTACAAATTAGAATTTACAGTTTTCATGAATCTACGATGCACAAGTTCCTTGCATTGTAATGAACAGAATCAGTTATTCAATTAGTTATCATATTAACCCGTAATATGATTTTGATCATATTCTTGTGAAAACAGCCGTCATTTTTGTTTAGCGATCTTCATATTTATTCCTTACATTATCTTAATATTTCATGCGTATCTTTATTCTCATTCTCGACTTGTCGCTAGGCTATCCTTTGCTTGCCTCACATGAGCTCTGCTGTGGACTTGCAGCTAACCGAGCACGCCCATGATATCCTTGAATTAACTGATAGTTTTTTATCATAAGCCCTCTTTTTGAACAGTTATTTGCATTAAAAAAATATAAGGTAAACTCAATAATTGACATGCCAACATTATGTATATGTAATTATGAACTAAATACATCAACATTATGTTCAATTAATAAGAACTCTTATTATATACATCATAGTGAATGTCTTTTATTAATTAAAAAAACCCATTTGATTATGTTATTCGTATTTATTATTTCTCTATTACAATTATTTTAACTGATACCGCCCTAGTTAACAGACTAAATTCTATCAAAATATTCCTTATAGTTTTAACTTTCACTCTACCACTATAAATGCTATTTCACCTGTTTTATATTTCAGATTTTTCTGGTATTTATACTTAGAATATTTCGCATTACTATCGTGGCTGCTATAAATGCATACAAAACCTGAACTGCAATGCAATCTATGAACGTTATGTCTATATTTCCGTACCTTCATGCTAGTAAAATCTATTAATTGCCTTTCATGGTTTCCATTAACTATGATTTTGCTTCCACACGGCCACTACATAACTAAATTCATTATCTTTTTTAGCAAAACGTCCGTCTAACATTTGTTCCTTTTTGAATTTAACGTATAAGAAAATTATCCAGTTTTATGGGCTACTTGTAACCTTTAACATACTCTTCTTTATTGCTTTTACCAATCTGCTGCTCTATTCACAAATTTTATGGATATGGAGCTGCGCCCTAACAATAAAGCTGGCAGATCTGTCCTATCCTGGTTTGTTTGGCACCTAAAATAAACCATTTGTTATTCTAGGCTAGATGCTCCTTAATCTTCTTAAATATTTCTTCATTCTATGTAATTAAATGAGTTACTTTGATATGAAATCGTTTTGGCTACTTGGTCTGAGCCAAATGGAGACCTTATAGAACGTGCCTAGTTCTGCGTCCGCTGAACTAGTAGCTATGATAATTTATAGCGTTGGATCACTGACTTCCTTAGGCATCGTTCCTCGGGCCACTAGGCCTAGCTTACATTGGTCTTGCTTGTGTGGAGATTTGCAGCATCACTTCTTATTCAAGTATAACACCTTTTTTCTTGCGCGTTATCAATCCTCTTACTATTCCAGTGTAACCTAAATCTCGTGCTCAACTTCGCTAACTTTATGGTATGTGCATTAGTTATTTATGTTAGGCATGATTTCATGACTGCCTTAATAAGCTAATCTGTATTCTAATAGCCACTGTTGGTTGCGCCCAGCCTCTGCTGCAACACATCGGGGGACTTAAATCAAACCTTGATCCTGTAATTACTATTCATACCGGTAGTCTATTAGGACGATTGTGATTCGTCTAAATTCTTGCCATATCTTCTCTTCATTTTTTTCCTCCAGGAGTGCCCACAGCTTTTAATTTTCCATTCGTTGTTTTTCACCCTATGTCGTAAGACTTTTCGTTGTATTCCAGTCATTGATGTGGCCAATCATGCGACCTGTTCATGTTTCTGAGTACATGCTTATGCCGAGCTGCTACTGTTCTTCAATCTTTGTACTGATATATCGTTCAAGTGTACTTTTGCTGACCTTGTATTTGATTCAGTAAACTCCAATACGCTCCATTTTGTTGGCTTTTCCATGTAGAGCTTGTGATGAGTGTCATCCTTTTTTTCCAAGACATTTCTCTAGGAATGTAACAAGTCAACGTCCTGGTGTTAAAAATTATTATGCCTACTATAGCTGAGCAGAGTGATTGTGTAGGTTCCATGAGCTCTTTCTGTTGTAACGGCTTAGTTTAAAAAACAAAATCGTAATAATTGGCAAATAGCCTATAAGCATGAGACCACGCTCATTTTTCATCATTTCACTTGGATATATTGAAGTCATATTATATTTGAAGGTACGTTTTTATTTATTTTTTTTCTTTGTTGTCTTTATGCGTTGTATTTCACGCATTTATTATTTATATAATAATTTGGATAAATTATAAAATTTGTGTAGAAATATCACTAATCCTTATCAAAGGTATGAAGACCATTTTGGTGTGGCCTTTTGTGTGGCCTCAGTTTCCTTCCGTTGTATAGAAGTTGTTTGACCTTGTTTAGGAATGTAGCACGTCTACGGTCATACTCTATAATTGAGCATGCATACAATGGACTCCGGACTAGGTGCGTTCCTCTAAGTGTTCCTACCAAATGACCAAGTTGCGAAAACAAGGTCAAACAACTTCTCCAATTCTTATGTTACATATAACTGTAAAAATGATATATTATCATTTTTATTAACAAGACTTATTGCTTTTTAGATTTTTATTTTTACACCTATAAATGGCATTTTAAATTAGAGTTAGGAAATCATCGACTTCACTTTTATCGTATTTGAATTTTTATAAATCTACCCTACATTTTAAAAGTATTCTTTATTCCTTTATATATTTTTATTAAATTATTTACTTTATTTATTTTCCCTTCCATAACCGCCATCCTGATACCTATTTAGCCGCGCTCTCTGCCTTTGCTTCAGCGAGCTAGTTCAAGGTCACCCCATGGCTGCAAAGAATCACTTTATAAAGCTGTTCCCATAGATGACATTATGAATAATAATGATGGGATTTTAGGAGTTACAATGAGATCCTCTAATTGCAATTATTCTGGATGTTCTGAGAATGAGTATGGGACAATTGATGCTCCTCAAGTTGTGGAGGCCTTGAAAGGACAACAGAAGCAAAGGGAAGAATTGCACAAAAGCGACAAACGTAGAAGTGCTCACTTCATTAAAAATTCAAGTATTAAGGAAGGTGATATCTATATCGGAGCCAAAGTTTATCCAACTATCCATGAAAAGCCACGAACTCACATACCGGGTGGTTACTGTGCCCACCTGTTGGCTTCTGCGACTGGTACAGATACTCAGCATTCTTTATCGACTTCAAACGATTTTCAACTAGGCGCATTATTTTCACGTTCAGAGCACAAGACAGCCCTCAAAGTCAAATACAAATGATTTCCCCTTTTGCCTCACAAGAGGTTTACACTCAGCGAGATAGGATAAATAGAGGTAAGTAAAGTGTAAATTTAATCTATTTGAGTTGTTTGAAATGTTAGGTCACTTATAAAAATTCGGAGCAGCCATTTGTAGTCAAGCCAATTCCCATATATTTATGACACTATGAAAAATAAGCTTATAATTTTTTTCAAAAATACTGATTTGAAGGTATGAAAACCAAGATGGTGTT